TAATACTACATGTATTAAATATTTTAATGATCCACCATTAGGGGAGTATAAACTTATTCCTGATATATCAAATGCACCTTCTCTTTTTCAGGTATATTCAATACACGATTTATCTATTATAATTAGTAATGATGATAATGAAATTATCAATCCAGATGAAGTTAATAATGATGTTGAGATTATTGATGACATTGAATGTAATAATGATGTTGAGATTATTGATGATATTGAATGTAATAATGATATTGAAATTATTAGTGATGATGATAATGGTGATTTAGTGATGACTGGTCATGAAATAAATGATCGTCATCAGACATTCCACAACATCAAATCCAAATTTAAGAAACGGTCTACAGCAGCACGTAAACGACGTAACATTAAATCAAGTCATCGACATCGAAGGAATCGATACAAATTTGAAATTATCCGTCCAGTTAATACAACCATCACCAATGTGAAAAAAATTTTACGTTCTTATGCTGTACCTTATCTCAATGTTAATATAGTACAATCAACACTTTATATTGATTTAAAATCAAAAGACTTCCAAGGTTATTTTGAACGTTTATTACCAATGGACTTATTTACTTAACCTTTTGTGGAGGGGAAGGTGTCAGGATCTGCCATCTATAAATAGATGACGATCCTTCGTCGTTACACCTTTTAGTTTATTATATATATATATGTTTTTTGTTCTCTCTCTCTTCTAGTCTATATATATATATATATATATGTTGTTTTCTTTTTTTCTCCCGTTGTTGATTTTTCTGTTATTGTGTTAACTTGTTTAGGTTTTCTATTATTAAATAAAAGTAAAGGGAACCTAATAGTTATTGATAAGAAAACGACAATAATTTAGTTGCTCCCTATTTCTAGAGTAGAGTGCATGATTAATAAAATTTGAAGAAAATGGAGAACGTAAACACCAGCTAAGAGCATCAGTTACAATATATGAATGGTCTAGTGAATCTATTAGTGCAAGTATTTTATGATTCTGTCGATAGTAGTTTTGGACCACTTCAGTAAATTCCTGTTTACCAATTTTTGATTTTCGCTTCATTATCTAAATGAATAAATTGGTTTTTTTTGTAAAACGATTCGTTTTTTCTATTCACTCTCACTTCGTCTCTCCACAAATGCAACCAGAGGAATGTGTTATCTTGCTCAAATAAGAATTCTTCAAATATGATTTATTGAAATGCTTCGAGAGTTTCTTTAAGTGCACACGAAGCAGTTCTTCTTGTTCTTCATAAACACCGATGAGTTTGACAAAATCTGTTTTAATTGATTGTCAATCTAGTTTCAATATGAAAATAGCTTCAACACATGTAATAGCATTTGCTGTAGCGTTTAGATCTGGATTCGTTGATGTACATATAAAAAAAGAGTCTATGATTTGATAACTCTATCGAATTAAAACATGACAATGGATCGGTATACAATTGAACATAATTGTTGATTGCTCGAAGTGCACTAACAATATTTCTCATTGATTGTAATTCAGGATCGAGCCAAATAAAAGTAACACTTTCATAATTTTGTTGTGGATCAAGATACTTAGTGCGATGCTTTTCAAACACAATTTGTTTCGGTAGTTGATGCTGGAATCGAACTGGGAATCGTTGGTGGTGAAGACGCTTTACTTTTATTCGGACTATTTGACTTGTCTGAGTTATTTTGAGAATTTGTCAGCATATATTTCTTACTCATTTCTTTTTTTTCGCACTAAAAAAGCAGATGTTCATTAGACAATAGTAGCAATATTGACGACAATGAGAAAATGAAAAATGAAGTTGACTGTTGCTGATTCTATTGTAATATTTGAAAGAAAAATGATAAAACATGTGCTGACGATATCAATTCGTCTAATTATTTTCTATCAACATTATTTTTATCCATATTGTAATCTTAATAAAGAGGAGAAGCAAAAAAGAAAAAGACTCGACTGGATTTCTTTGGATAGAAAATTTATTTAATCGGATCATAAATGGTAATCATGCTGCACTACTTTCGATAGAGAAAGGATAGAACTCCTAATTTATCCATGTCAATTATCATCATCATATAATGTAAAAAAAATGAATTGGAAAAATGAACTAATGCTCATGTTGAATGACGATTAATCATACTCTCAACTGAAAATTATGTGATGTTTGATTCAATAAATTTCGATTTAAATAATTTAAGAAGGTTATTATTGTTAATAAGAATTTTATATTTGTAATTAAAAAAACAGAAAATGGTTTCCAATCATATCATTTTACTTTTATTTTAATATTCGTTGAATTTTAGATATCAACGACATTCAAATTTATATCTTGAATATTCTAAGATGAGACAAAAAATTGGTTGGTTTGATTATCGAAATGCTGGTTAGATCAATATTATAAGTCTATTGAATAATTAGGTGAATTAGCAAGTCATCTAGTTGAAGATCATGAAAATAGTCGTGTAGTAGATCTTATTATTCTTCTTTCTCAAATTATTGCCAGTCTAATATTTTCTTTTTATGTTGCTTGGAAATTAATACTTATCTTTCTTTCAATATCACCATTAATTGTTCATTCATTTAATCGTTTACTGAAAATAAATAAGTATTTTTATTTTTATTTTTACTATTTTAGATTATTATTAAATATACAGGTTTAGAATTACCAGCATATAGTACAACTAATTCTATTGCACAAGAAGTTTAGATGCAATACGAACAGTAATCGCATATGATGGACAAGATAAAGAAACTGAATTGTAGAAATTTAAAAGAATTTATTTTTATTGAAATTAAAAATATACAGATATCGAAAGAATTTATCTGATGGTAAACGTGTTGATATTCAAGAAAGTGTCATGCTAGAAATAATTCAAGCTATAGCTAATATTATTCTTTATGGTGGTAGGTATTTCAATTATTTTTAGTATAGACCATCATTAATTCTAAATGAATGTCAAAATTATAGATCTGGTCATTGGATGGTTGTATGTATTACTTTATATTTAGATATTTGTTTTTCGTTCAACATCAATAGTTACATTATCTCGTTTAATATCAAATTTACAATCATTTGCTGACGCATCTGCTTTTGGTGGATATGTATTTGGTATAATTAAAAGAGAATCAAAAATACATATATTTTGAAGTGATGGTCAAATTCCATCGAATTTTATTGATGATACGGAATTTTAAAATGTTTATTTTTCATATCCATCACGAAAAGAATTATCTGTATAAAAATATTATCTTTTCATTTGAAGTTTTTTTCTAAATAGATTCTCAGTGGTTTAACTTTTAAGATTCCTCCGGGAAAAACTGCATCATTTTTTGGACCATTTGCTTGTGAGAAAAGTACAATAATTCAATTGATTCAAAGGTTTTTATGATTCATTATTCATTTGATCTTGTAGTGAAATATCTACTGAGTAGTTACACTGATAATAGCAAGAAATAGGATAGTATTGCCCATTTTTTCTTGGAAGATCTGTTTATTTTTTATTCAAATAAAATAAAGACTCTTTCAATGTTTGCGATCATTACAAGTAGGCTTCAAGAATCTCAATAAGGCGTTGATTCTTTTTATTTAATTTTTTTGCCTCTTCATAGCTGTTTGGATCTTCCCAAAGTTCGCTCTCCTTGGATTCGCCATATTGAATGATTCGACTTATGACTTTACGCATAAGTGTTCGCTCGTCGCCCTCGGTTGTGTCTATCGACCTGTTCGTTCCATTAGGTCCTTGATATTGACCCAAGGTCCAAATATCATCATCCCAGCGATATCTATCAAACAGATGTGCCAACTGTTCAGCATCGTCTGCATTGCTAATGAGAATAATCTTATACCTTCGAGGTTCTCCAACATGATTCTCTACATCAGTAACTTCAGAACAATGCAATAGTGGAAGTTCATCATTGAAAGGCCCTTTACGAATTTTAAAAGCAATAACAAGAACACCGATATCATCGACATTCATTGTCAGAACTAGAATAATGTTCAAGATTCCACTTAAACTTTAACGTTAAACTGAAATATCACTTACATTTTCTGTGTTTGAATTTGGCTGAGGATGTTGCAACTCGATCAAAGGATAACGATCGATTTTTCTGAAGGTTTTTTCTCACTTAAACACGCTATTCGTCTGTGTCGTTAAGATGAGAATTTAAGATCCGTCACTCTTTATATATCCCATCAATCGGATAATTCCAATTTACAATCTTCCAGATTTATTCTGATCGTGCAAAATCATGTTGGAAAGATTACTAAAAATATCTGGTCTTTCTAAACAGATGCATATGACACAATAAGCAACATACTTATCCAAATATTTACTTTTTGTGTCAAAAAAATGAAGGAAGGACAATAGTACTACGTATATCGACACATTTTCAATTTGTAGTTTGTATCCAACATCAATGTGACAATAAGTATCATTCAATGAGCTGAAAAGTGAACTATTTTTTTGCTTCTCAAAACGATTTCAATCAATACAAAATCAAATTTTTACTTTTTGACATGTATAACACAACCGATAGGTTTATAATAGCCTACTAACTTTTAAACTAAACACTAAAGAAGCGATATTAATTAGATGGTAATTTCTAAAAGGGTACGCATTGAATAATTTTTTTAGAAAAACGAATTTTTACAAAAAATCATAAATGTTTTAATTTTCAAAGATTACAGCTCTGTACGTGTCACTGTTCATCAAGCACAATTGATCTTCTCCATATAAAGATGAATACAGCATAATACATAACATAGCACTTATTTAACGATGGCAAGATATTCACGATTTGTGCAAACTTCCAAAAAGCTATCTATATTCTTAAGCCATATCTGAATATAATATTATTGGATTTGATGTGTGGTCTACATGAGATTGCATCACTTAGTGGTCGCTGCATTTATTTCTGTCAGACGGAAATAATTTATCTCATTTGGGTCGTGTAGTATAGGCTAAAACTAATTGCTTTCATTTCTTTACGTTCGACCTGATGTTAACCAAAAATAGATCGCATACTTAACGAATAAAAGTCGTGAGACTTCATTAATATTTTATCAAAGCCTAAATAGCTTCGTTTTATCACTAATTAATCATGAAAAAGGATCTAGATTGAATAAAAAAAGAAACAAAATGAAAATATTGATACATATAAAAAGACACTCTGCACATTTTCTCATCGCCTAAAGAGTGCTTGAAAAGAGAATCGCAGCAGACCAATCATTTTCAAGGGTAGCTAGAGAGCAAATAAATGACGGATTATCTATTTTAATTTTGTCTCTTTCTTTAACATGTATTAGATTCATTCAAAAAAGATCATTGTGCAGTTTACGTGGTGTCTTGAGATAAAACTCTTAGATATTTTTATCAAAAGTGTTATGATTTCTATAAGCACAATTTTGAATTTTGAATTCAACAGTGGCTCTTAGTAAATGACTGCAAAAGGTATCTTTTTAGCTTTTCTTCCTACTTGATATATCTAGTATTAATGAGTGTTGTTACTCATATTCTATCGAACTAACTAGACCAAGTTAGATTTGAAATGTTAGTTACTATTAACGATTCTTGATGATACTTTCTTACTAACATTATGAATTCTATTGATGAATTATTACATGAAAGCAACTATCCTAAAATTAACAAGATAAACTTCAATAATGCTGTTTCCACTTTGTGTCGAATCTGCGAACTATCTTTTTCATCAGCATTGCATCATGGGGTATCTAATAGTCATCATAGTAGAAGACAAATAAATAAAAGTTCGAGTAGCTGCCTAATTCGACTTATAATATAAATGGAGTAGAAAAAATTCAACAGGGTCCCTTCATCTATCGTTTACTATAAAAGTATTAAATGACGAAAACATTCCTGTAAGTTTATCTAAAAAATATGTTTTCTCTATTTATCATTTATTATAAAAGTAATAAGTGACCAAGACATCACTGTAAATTTATACAAAAAAGTATATTTTTTTATGTCTTCTATCTTGAGGGAGAGAATTGTCATTATCAATATTAAACTACAATTTTTTGCCTAAACTTATAGTAAAGTCCTCACCATTTGCTACTTTCATAAGAAATGATATAAGTCGATATATTTATATTTTATTGTATTATTTATTTTCGAAATGGTAAAAAACTTCTGAAAGTGCATTTATATTATAAATCGAATTAGACATCTCATGAGAAATTGATCTGCTAATATCAATGCAATATATCGCCATTGTACTCAAGTAACTGTTATTATTCCTTCGTTGCTCATCTGGTCAGTTTCATTGTTTTTTGTGTTGATTTTGGCACTCTACATTGACGACACAGCGAAGCTGGGATTGTATTCGCACTATCTTCACTATCACTATCGTTGAGTGACATGAGGCATTTACATTCAGGCTACCATATCACAGATTTTTGGTGAAGTTCGGTGGATGTTAGATGATGTATACGGGTAATACAAGTTTTTGTTGATGGGATACATAGCAGTCGCACAAATCTTATGTAATGCTGAGCTCCTTGTTAAAAAAAAGTACTTAGATAAGAAAATGTTGTTAGTGACAAAAACTGCGTTTGATGTATTTGGGTGTGGGTGTGGGTGTGGGTGTGGGTGTGGGTGTGGGTGTGGGTGTGGGTGTGGGTGTGGGTGTGGGTGTGGGTGTGGGTGTGGGTGTGGGTGTGGGTGTGGGTGTGGGTGTGGGTGTG